CCCCCCCCAGTAATACCAGCTGAAAAGAGCTTTCTAATTTGGAGTCATGTCCTCAGGCATCTTCAACAGCTTGAATATGAGACTTACTTAGAGCGGCCAATTGGAAGACCAAACAGGAAACTGAGTCAGGGACCACAGATGTGACAGAGTGTGCTAGTGATTTGGAGAGGTCAGGGAGGAAGGAGCTTCACAGACAGAGTGGGATTTTAGCTGGGCTTGAGAGACGGGCACACTGGGACCTAAGAGGCAAGAAGGAAGTGTTTGGGGCCAAGGGAAGGGCATGGACAAAGGCATGAAGAAAGGAATGACCATGGGCAGTTAAGGGATGGCACAAATAACCAAAGCATATTGAAGACCAGTGGTAGGAATGTGTAGTGGAGAGATTACTAAAGGTGGGGCAACAGGGTGACGGTCCAAACTATTTGTATTAATTTATTTCTTGTTGGAACTAAATATATATCTACACTGACCATGCATACCATTAGATTTTGGGGGACGATAAGCTCTTTTAGCGCCTCTATTACAATTTCATTTTAGATCGATAAACATTTGCTGATATTGACTGTAACTTCTTGAAATTTCTCTCACCACGCCTCTTAGAATATTTGCTCACCATTTTGAAACACTGCTTTCAACTTCATCTATTCTCCACTTTCAATCTTAATGTAAATCAAAATGCTCTAAAAAGTTTATATCACATATCAACTATGACCGATCTACAACTCAGTTCCGTAATCCAAGGCTGATATTTTAGAAAATCGATGGTAAACATGTTGTACTGATATGAACTATGAGACATTCTAAAGCATCCCTTCTTACTGATGAGGGAAGTCTCTTCTTTACAAAGACATGTTAGTTAATAAATATAAAAGGACTGATAAAAATTTTACATGACCAATTTGCAACCTCCAAAGCAATAAATGATTCAGATAAAGCACATCAATGGATGCTAACAGCATTAGATGAAAGGATATTCGCATTAGCGCCCCCACCCAAAATCATTTCATAGTTTAGTTCTACTTGTGAAAGGTAAACACGTACTTTAAAACTGGGAAACCAGACATGTATCACCATCCTAATTAAGTGATCAAACTTAGTAGCGCTCATAGTGGGACAATCATAATGTACCTCCTGATATAACATACCTAGTACCTCGTACCACCTATCGAGTTATTCCAGACAAAAATACACAACCTGTTTCTAATCACGTCTTTAGAACCAATTTATAGCTTTCAAAAACACAAAGGATAGGGTAAAAGATAAATGATACAATAAAAAAAAAATAGACAAACCCAGAACATGGGGTTTTGTTCAAGAGAATTGGCTTAGTCTCTTTAAAAAGTTAATATCGTGGGGGGAAAAAAAGTTAACATCATTAAAATAAACAAACTAACAAGGTCAGGGAATTGGTCCAGATTTTAAAATATCACAGAGATATAACCATTAAATGCTATGAGTATATTTTGACTTCTTTTTGGGAAAAAATAAAACAAGAAATACTGAAAGCAAAACATTCTACAAGCAATTTAAGGACAAATAGGGAAAATCTGAACATGAATTGGATATTAGACAGGATAGGAAAATAGTTAATTTTCCTAGTAATAATGGCATGTATTACAAAAATTTCCTTATCATTATAGACATATGAGGAAGTATTTAGACCTGAAATGTTCTGTCTGAAACTTGCTTTCAAATAGTAGAGCAAAAATGCACATATCCACAAAAAAGGGAAAATGTTTTTTAAAAAAGAGTAGGGATGAGGAAGAGACTCTTGGTACTCATACATTTAATATTTATGACCATTTGACAATGATCCCCAAATGGCTACACCTAAAAGTCATACAATTCTGTCCAGGGGTGAACTGGAGTCACGGAAGGTGCCAGGCTGTTGTTCAAGAGCCCAGCCAAGGGCTAGGATCCTGGCCTCTCCGTGTGGCATCCGTAAGATATATCACCTCCAAGTGAGACGTACCCCTTCAGTGAAGCTGGAAACGTGGAATGAGGATATGTACAGGAACACGACTTTCAAAGGAAATGAGATTCCTACAGGACACACAGCCTTTTGATATCGGTCTCCACCACAATAAGAGTAACTTGAAAACCTGCTATTACAGGTTGATGAGGACCAGCGACCATTTGTCAAAGAACAATACAATGAGAGTGTAATCCTCATGTTTACAGAGACTGCTTTTTACCTGCATTCTCTGTAGAACAACTCTAACAGTCCCCATTTTACAGACACAGCGTCCATGGGCCCTGGCAGCTTACACAAGGTGACAGAACTAAAGTTTCTACACAGGTCCCTGACTCCCGATTCTCTGCTTTTTGCTGATTTGTTATCAGAATACAGCCAATGGGTAGCCTGCATGGAAGGCCCTGTTAGAAGCAGCTGGTGAGGTAGAAAGAGTGGGGCATGCTCAAGGGGTCAGGCCCTGGGGTCAGACTGGTTCTCTTTGAACCCCCACCTAAGCACATACAAGCTGGGTGACATCGAGCGAGTTACTTATTCCCTCTGACTCAGTTTTCTCAACCTGTCTAATGGCAGAGACAATAATGCCTGCCTCATAGGATTTTTGTGAAAATAAGAAAAATAATACATTTAAAGTGCTTAGGAAAGTGCTTGATACACGGAAAATCTTCAATTAATGGTACTGTCGTTACTACGACTACCAGGTAGGGAATCAGAAAACATGTTTTCTAGGCCAATCTCTACCACTAACTAGCTGACTCTGTGGTTTTCTCTGAGTCATATTCCCTGAGTCTCTGGTCCCTCATTTATGAAAATGGCAAGGAATGGGGGCAGGGGTGACAGATTATTTCTGCTCTCTTTTAGCTATAAAGTCTATGAGTTTGTGTCATTAGTCTATGACCAAGACCATGATTAACAGCATACATTAAGGAGATAATGCGACTTATTGTCATCTGATGGAATCAAAGAATTCTATGCAATACACTGAGCATTTGTAATAGCTCTTTATGTCTGATACACAATAGACTTATTTAAAAAGTAAATGTATTTTTCAGTATTACAAATCCTTTGCATCACATTCACAATAAAAGTAATTTAGCCTAAATACGATTGATCATGGTGATTCACATTTAATGCTCCAAAAGCTTTGTCATGTCAGCCAACCTAAAAACTGAATCTGGATAACAGAGGATTTGGTGTCTACATGAAGTCAATGTAGTAGCCAGAACTCTAAGATGGACCCATGATTATGTTACTTTATACAGCAAAATGGACTTTGCAGATGTAATTAAGGTTACTAATCAGTTGATCTAAAGATAAGGAGATTAGGGGCGCCTGAGTGGCTCAGTTGGTTAAGCATGTGACTTCCGCTCAGGTCATGATCTCGCAGTCTGTGAGTTCAAGCCCTGTGTCGGGCTCTGTGCTGACAGTTCGGAGCCTGGAGCCTGCTTCCGATTCTGTGTCTCCCTCTTCTCTCTGCCCCTCCCCAGACAGTTCACACTCTGTCTCTGTCTCTCTCAAAAATAAATAAACATTAAAAAGAATTTAAAAAAAAAAAAGATAGGGAAATTATCTGAGTGGGCCTAACACACCCACATGAACCTTTTTAAAAGCAGAGTGCTTTCTTTGGCTAATTTCAGAAGAGTCAGCGAGAGATCTGAAACACGAAGGATTCAGTGCACCTTTTTGGTTCAAGATGGAGGGGATCGTGTGGAAAGAACCTGTGAGCAGCCTCTAGCTGCTGTGAGGCAGCAAGAACACCGAGACCTCGGCCTACAACTGCAAGGAACTGGATTTGGCCAACAACTTGAATGTCTCCGAAAGCAGTTTTCCCCCAGAGCCTCCAGACAATAACTCAGCACAGCCAACACCTGACTTCAGCCATGTGATATCCTTTTTTTTTTTAATTTTTTTTTAACGTTTATTTATTTTTGAGACAGAGAGAGACAGAGCATGAACGGGGGAGGGTCAGAGAGAGGGAGACACAGAATCTGAAGCAGGCTCCAGACTCCGAGCTCTCAGCACAGAGCCCGACGCGGGGCTCGAACTCACGGACCGCGAGATCGTGACCTGAGCCGCAGTCGGCCGCTTAACTGACTGAGCCACCCAGGCGCCCCAGCCATGTGATATCCTAAGCAGAAAACCCAGCCATATCATCCTAGAAGTGTGGCTTACAGAACTAATGAACTGACAAATGAACTACTTAATTAATGAATTAACTAATTAATTAACTAATACATGAGTGTTGTATTAAGCTGTTAAATTTGTGAAAACTGTTAGGCAGCAATAGGTGATTTTTTAGATACGTTTTCTTCTAACTGGCAAGCTCTATAAAAATTACCTATTGTGACCATAGGAGTGGACCAACTGAAATTATGCATAGGAACTCAACAGCCATGATTAAAAAATGTTTT